TTGAGATACCATATAGAATGATGTCATGAAGGGACATAAGAAATTCACTTGAGGTTTGCTTTTTGAAGTGGTAGAGCGCACTAAAAGCTTTAAATTCCTCTTTGTTTTTCCCCCAAACAAATTAAACTTATAGCTAGAAAGATGTTTATTGTCTTTCTACTTTTGTTTTTAATTTCTTTTTTTTATTTATGAAAATTTATTCCTTCCACAACTATTAGCAATTGTTGGTGTAGAATAACACAATCAAATTAAAATACAGAATTAGTGCCCAAGATAGTTATGAGCTATGTCAATAATAACTAATGTAGAAAATTAAATATTAAATTATTCCACATATGAGAAAAAAAAATTGGAGAGGGGACACTTTTGGGTTGGCCTTAAAATTTAAGCATGTCCGCTTTTGCATTTGACACTACAGGAATTCAACATATTTGCCTCGGCTATATCAGACGAAAATCGGGGGCAAAACAAACGATATTTAAGGATTTACGTCTGATTTGTTTCGATGTTAAATTGGGGGTTGGTAATTTTATTTCCATCTAATTTAAGTAGAAATATTCCGAGGGAAATTATTTGCATCAGTTTTTTGCATCGTATTGACGTTCAATTAGATTATACGTAAAGTACGGCGACATTTGCATTTGAAAATATCAGACGATGAATATTAGTATCAGAATGATGTCAATTTGCATCGAAAAATATTGTAGAACCATGAAAAATTCTTGTTGTTTTAGCGTCGGATTTTGCGTCTGAAAACGGACTTGAGAAATATAGGGTCGGTTTGATTTCATATTTTTTCTAAACTATATATATATATATATATATATTTATTTATTTATTTATATTAAAGCTATGCCCATTTATGTAAGTACAAGACATTCTTAAAAAGCCAAGAAGCTAGTGGTGTATGTCCAATCCTTGTAGGAAAAGCAAGAAACCTCACAAGTCAAACCCACCTAAATAACTTTGAAGGCAAGTGGAAGTCATTAATGTCTCTCCTTTCTAGGATTTTGCATGGATTTGATCTTCTAAAAAGCTTAAATGATCCCCATATTTGCTTGATTCAAATGGCCAATAAAACCTCCAATTCAAAAAAAATAGAGGATAAGGAGTTCATCACCATACACATGTTCCCAATAAATTTACTCCCTTTACTTGAAGAATATTTTCTCATACCTCATGCATTTAATTAAATCAAATCCAAAACTTTATTGCAACTCCTTATATGATGCCCTGAACTCCTCCTTCCTCTTACATTCATAATAAATCAAATAAATGCATGCAACACACGCTTTAGCCAAACTTAGCAAACATTCATGACCAATTTATTCTAAAAATCCATGGCCAATTAAGTTCATTTAAGAGCGAAAAACACCATTAATCAAAGGAATTTAGGGGTTTTATCTTGTCTGAGTCGAGCTCGAGTCACCCTCGGTTTGAGCTTGAACTTAATTAATTAATTGAGTCGGAGCCCAAAGTAGAGCTTAAATCTATGAGTTCGAGCTGGTTCACGAGTAAGTTTGTTTAGAATGAGCATTTAAGAGATAATTAATAAGAAATGATTTGATATAAAATTTAAAATATTTTTTTAAACATTTTGAATAATTTCAAGACCTTTTTTTGAATTTTAATATATTTTAACTATATATTTTATTAATTATTTTTAAACGTGCGGCTCATCAGCAAATGAGTTGAGTCGGGATTGTCTTGAGCTTGGCTTGTTAGCTCATTAAGCTCTGTTAAAGAACACCTCATCAAGTAGAGCCCGAGTCGCCGGCTTGTCTCACTTACGCCCCTAAGTCAACTTTAAGTTAACGATAGTCAACCTCTTAGGATCCCCTACTGAAACTCAAAAAAATATAAATCTCGGGTGATATTTATTGTCTATTGCACAATATATTGGACATAAATATATCATATCTTTAAACTTGATTAATTCGATATCGCAAATCTTTTCCAATTAATTGAGGCCACATTTTTTAATGAATTTGGATTAATTTGGTGCTTCCTTCCAACATTATTATCTAAAGATCGGTAAACACACAATGAAATTGCTCGTCATTATTAAATCATTAATTACATACGTACCACCCAATTCATATGTATTTACATATCTAACATCTAAACTTTATATTTACATTTCTATCACCCAAACCTCTCATATCACATCAAAAAATTATCACAACTATAACCTTTCAAAAGTGAAATAAACTTTTCAATATACAAATAAGGTGATGTTTAGATGTCAGATGCATAAATACATAAAAAGTGAGTGATATGTATGTAAATATTCCAAAAAAATATTAGTATTTAGTTATTTTTTTTAATGAAAATTGTATAAAAATAATAGTTAATAACTATATTTAACTTGAAGCATATTTAGAAAAAATAAAAAAGTGTCTGTCAAAAATCTAATTTTTAATTATACTATTTAAAAATACAATTATAATTCAAAACTCTTATCATGCATTTGAAAAAAAAAAAAAAAAAACCACTTAAATTGTGACTCCATCAAATTTCGCTGTCACACATAATCGTATTAATCAATCTCATAATCATTATTTCCTCTTAAATGAATAATTAACAGTTTATTATGCATCTACTCACTATAGATATAGATATATATATATATATATATATATATA